TGCTAAATGTTATGTTTTTTGGGGGTAAAAAAAGGAAAAACCAATTAATTATTACCTCATAAAACCCCTCCATTAACCTCAGTTTCCATTGTCCGATCATGCTGGTGCGCGAAATTGTTCGAGTAAATGTAAGTTAGGAAAATGTAAAGTTATGTAAATATGCAAGAAGGCCTATTGTGTGAGCATGGTTCTAAAATTGTGTGAATGGTCGAAAGATCGGCAGTAGAAGAAATATAGTAAAATTGCTTTGTCATGTCTGGGTAGCCGAGTTGTTATAGGGCTCGCCTTCAAATCTGAAAGTCGTTGGTTTGATTCCAAGCGAGATCGTTTCCAGACCCAGATGACATTTGCCATTGGGCTATGAAAGATGATGCTATCTAACAAATAGCTCGATGATATTAACAGGACATGTTAGGATCGTTCCCTTTTATATCATAAAAAATGCCAATGGCGTAGAAAACACTCAAATTAAACTAAAGTAAATCATATTAATTATATTAATCATTCTTTTCTAAAACAAACTAAAATAAGTGTTCCAGCCGGTTCATCTTGAAGCTTTCCTTATTGGAATCTCACAAAAACTAGGTTCGTTTTATATTTTGTCATGGTGTTTTGATTATTGATGTAAACTGCAATATATTGTATGTTGTTCACAGTAAGCATGGTAAAAGGCACAGTTCTGTACTCATTTTGGGATCAAAATCCTAAACCAATAGGTTATTTTAACAGTAGGTCATTTATTTTATCTCAACTATGGATACAGCATCTGAGATACAATATGACAGGAATCAGAAATGAGGACAGGGCTTAGTAGGATTTTGAAATTCAATATAATATTTGGTCATTCACTGATGTAATGATTTATATATGTATTTTTTACACTCTGTTTGAACATAGTACGTCAAGTTTTATCACAAGGACGTGCAGGAGTGTACGTACAACTCTGTGCCCACCTCTGTATCGTAATAGCCCATTTTCCCACGACGGATGCAAGTGGAAACTCAAGCTTAAAAAGCGGCCATCCACTGATGCTATCAAAATACGTACAATTGTAAATAATGTAAACCGTCTAAACAACGATGATCAACAAAAAAACTGTCTTATCAAGGTAATACTAGTAAATTGGTCGTGAAACTAGATTAAATAAAAAATCTGTTTTAGATGCACAGAATTACGTGTCGGTAATAAAAGACTGTTTTAAAACTTGGTCAAAAGCATATTTTATTGGACATTATCAGATAAAAAAAAATAATTGGCATGTATTTTATTTGAGCTAAAACATTAAAATGGTGTTGATATAAATGCTCATCTCCGTAAACTTGTAATAGGGTCAGTGCACCAGTAAATGACCGTTTCGTATAAAAACATCGTATCAAGCTTTTTGTGTGATACACACACAAATGATCTAGGCCTTATTTTAATCCGCTCTGTCCCTGTTTCAATAATAAAGTGTCAATCATCCATTTTTTATCATAACAAATTTAAGGGTCCAACTAATTTATCTTCAAGCCTCCAACTATGTATATATTAACGATGGGTGGTTATAAACGAAAACATAACCTCTCTTAGAAGTTATGAGCTGTGATTGTTAAGTCCTTTAGTCGGTGGGATAACGGTTACCTATTGCATTTTTGTACTATATTGATGTTCAACATTTTTATCAGAGTTTAGGACCAGCTGTGAAGCACAAGTTGAGACAAACTTTTCACTCCCTGCGAAGGGTAAATTAGGTCTGTCGAGGGTCTATTCTCATCGAGAGCCCTTTGCCAGTGATATCTAAATGAATTTTCCCTCGATGATAAAAGCTATCAAAACTTAAAGGAGTTTTCCTTTACGCCATAAATTTAGCTTGAAATTCACTTAAAGGACAACCCAGTCACTAACTATTCGATTACTCATATCACCAGCATATCACTAAAGGTGTCTTTATAAAAAGAAGATATTTTTGAAATTTACTTTATTAACATTATAATGACTTTTTATTCAATTAAATTAGGTTCTTATGGAGTAATAATTAAACTATGTTACAATCAATAACCATATTATCCCACGATAATATGGATATTGATTGTAACCACTCCACCAGCTATTGATTGGACTGCATTCCACAGTGCAGTCCAACGTTCCAAGATCTTTGGTTGAACAAGGGAGAGGAACTAAATCACATATATCAAGCAATATGTCTTCCATAAAATGTAAAATAGGTTGAACAATTATATCAAAATATAAGCAATGTATTTATCCATTGAACTAAGACTAAAACATCCGCGATGTGTAGCATAGATTATGAGCACCTGGTTCTCAACAGAAACATCGCGACATCCGCCGCGGCCGTTGAGACGAGATCTCAGAGGCCAAAAGAGAAACGTTTTGATGGTAAAATAAATAGTTACATTCGTACAACTTGTTGTATTGATACAATTAACAACAAACAACAACTAACAAACCGTTTCAATTGTTAATGTAAACTCTATACATGTACTCTTAATGTAAAAATAATAACATATTTTATCTTTTAAAAAAGCGCTTTTTGTAAGGCGTTATACTTAAAGTGAAACGAAGGCTTTCACAACCCGGCCTAGAAAGAACTCCTTTATTATACTATTATTATTAGTATCACAATCATATATTCCTACATTATAATATGAGTTAAGTTTGAATAGTTGTTACTTCTATCTCGGAATTGGCACCAAGAAACACGTTTATACTTACGGTATAACTAAATACTGCTTCAAAAATAAGCTCTAGACCAGCGGTATAGCCAGAAAAAATATATTTTCGCCATAATATGTTTACAAAATTTCAAAAATGTAACCCCTAGTTAATTTTTGAACGGCTGCATATTCAAAAGAGCTTCGATACACGTTACTAAGGTAATGTAAAAAACTTTTTGGTGGTATTTTGAAATTTACCCGCCACCCCAAAATAGGGGTTTCTGGAGGTAACTGAAAATTTTTAAATGGCAACCCCTATGCAGTGCAAATAATTTAAAAAGCTTTAAAAAGTAAATTAATGCCACAAAGCCGACTTTGAAACGACAAATTTAAAAAAGTTATGGCAAGAAATGTTGGACGTTAATTTTACTGGACCTTTATATTCCATTACTTTAATTTTTTTCATGGCTAAAAATTTTAAAATAACCGTGGTTTTACACGTGACCAGGATGATGTCATGCACTTTTTAACATAATTTTAAATTTCATCGCCCACCCCCAAATAGGGGTTGCTGGTGGGGTTTTGATTTTTTTTAATTCTGGTAAACTTAACAAGGTTTTCGAAACTCAATTAAAACCATTTATACTACAATTTGAAACTTACTAACAGTTTATTTTTTAAGCGTAGCAAACGAAGCTCCTTTACTAAACTCCTGCTTTTGTTTTACAAATACTCTTTCCTGAACGGCTGAAGCTTGATCAACAAATCAACTAAACTAGCCGATTTCAAATACAGAACAAAAGGGACAAACAATCGGATTAATACAGTTGAGTATAATTTACTACGAAATGAATAACCAACTATACTTATGAACCATTGCCTTTACGTTCTGCAAATAGTCATTACATTTATGTGAACCAAATATACCATTGACTTTGGATGCTGCAAGTAGACTTCCAATTCATGTGAACCAAATGGATGTATTGACTTTGGATACTTCAAGTAGACATCCCATTCACATTTGTAGCATTGACTTTGAAAAGTATTGGATTAATATGCTCCTTCCGGTCAATATTGCAAACAGGCAACTTCATTGTACAACTAGTTTTACAAATACTCCTCCTAAATAGCTAAAGCGTTCCGCACGTAATTTAACACAGTCATAGCATAGATCAAACTCTTTAATCGATGGTCATAGTAACCAATTATGTGCAGGTATAAAGCTGAAATGGCACAAATCAGTCTATAGGGGTTTTCCCTACGTGAGTTAAAAATTGTATAAATTTATTATGGGCTTTGTGGATTGATCGTTTGCCACGACGCGACGGTTGGATATCTCTTTTTTAAGTAAAATATACATATTTTTAAGGTACTGCAGTATTTCTTATTTCACGTAATCTTATATATACCTATACGTGGTGTTTGGCAGTCATCGTCTCAAGACATTATTATGCACGAAAATTACGGTATTAATACCCAATTCGGATTCTTATATCTCACTTCTCCTTCCGGAAACAGTCGTTAGATTGTTCAAAATGTGTTGACATTGCATATTAAAATCTCATTTTTCAGCTTTTAGCCTATATGATGGTGTTTTCAACGATCTTTTTAGAATCTGCATTACATACTCTATCAGAAAAAATATATTTTGTTGCAGTAGAACCCATACCGACCTTGTAAATTCGGCTTAAATAAAACAATTTAAAAAAATGAATAAAAGGGTGTCCAATTTGCTTAAGAATTTGCTTATACATCCTTTTAATATGTCAAATAGAATAAAAAAACTTCCCTAAACTGTCATTAGTGTAGGGTAGTGATCGTTTCCCACTATTTCTCTCAAGCCTACGCTGTAAGATTTTTCATTACTTATCGTCATTAAATATAGCATAATACTGCATAATGCATAATAATGCATAATGCTTATAAAAGTGATCAAATTTTGATCAATCGTTTGACGTCAAGACCAGGGTTTGGACCTTTCCAGTACGAAAATGTTGATCAGATCAATGACGTAAAACAAAACAAATGAATAACGACTAATAATGAGTATTTTTTTTTTTAATTATCTTACTACGTATAGCAAACAAAATACAAATACATAATGAACGGAAATAGAGTAATACACTGTATTGGTGTAGATTGTTCATAAGTGATTGTGTGGTATAGGCAGATAGGCTACCTATTACAGTCAACTAGGCAGGTATGATTAGTGTAATGGAGGGGTGAGTTGTCAGTCTCCACCACCTCTGGGTGGGATCGATGGTGGGTGGTGGTGGGTGGTGGTGGGTGATGGTGGGTAGTGGGTAGGACGAAGGATCGGGATTGTCAGTAGGACAGCGACAGCGAGGTCCTGGTCACAGGACGCGGGTGGCCCTAGGCCGAGCCGCCATGTCCTTCTAACCAATCAAGGTAACTTAACCTCTCTCATACATGTGTAGCAATCACTTTTACAACTTACTATCTAGTTGTATACTAGATATTGGGTGGTCACTACTACAATAGTTTTGCTATCGATATTATCAAGTATAATTTTGAAAACGAATGTATGAGTGAAGCACATGTTCGTGTTTATGTAGTACTTATTTTCAAAATTATAAATTAGATTGATTTTACTAATAATAGTAAAATTTAATATGATGTTCTTTAACAGATAATCGAATTTCCAAGCAGTTTCTGGAGCAAAATGTGTTAGTCATTAATGTCCCGTTGAAATGTTTGTTGTTAGAATTATATTTCAGTAATTAGGTCATAAGTACGGCTATGAAAGTGATGCATGTGAAATCTATATAAATAAAATTAGAGTTTTGTCTGTACATTGCTTAGAATAATGAACTTTTTGGTTATTTTTACATTTCATAGGTCAGAGAAACCGAATCAAACCTTATCTCAATTTCTGTCTGTCTGTCTGTCTGTCTGTCTGTCTGTCTATCTGTCATTCTCTTGGTAACGCTAAAATACGCACTTTATTACAACTACTCCTCAATAACTATAGCACTGTCCCGCCTGAAACTTATTTTCCAAATACTATACATATATGAGATGGTTTTAGACGTATTTCATCGAATATGAGACAGTTAGATATTTAACAGTAAACCCTTGAAAATCAAGTTTTTGTCGATTTTTGACGTGGAATTTCTGGAAGCCCATGTTAACCTTATGAGAAATGAAATTATTGAATCTTAACAGCTGTTTCAATTAAACAAGTTGGTTCTGTTCTGTGATGTTCAATAGCATTAAAGTTACAAGGATTACCAACAGGGTGCAGCACTAGCACTATTATTTCTTTTACATTTATGACAACAGCTAATTTGCAACCTGGAGGCGAGTGAGCGTAGCGAACGAGCTAACCTGAAGGCAAGTGAGCGTAGCGAACGAGCTAACCTGAAGGAAAGTGAGCGCAGCGAACGAGCTCCAACATACAGGTGAGTGAGCGTAGCGAACGAACTTCAACCAGGACGTGATTGAGCCATGCAAACGAGATCAGATAGTAAAAATAAAAGTAAGCCTACCGTTATAGGATCGACCGGCAGACACAGAGGTAATTTAACCTTTTATTGATTGTCATACCGATCCGGAACAACAAAAAACAACATAAAATGAAGCTATGTATAATAGTTTGGCCAGCATATCTTAAAATATGCAAACCAACTGCTGTTCGTTATATAAGAAGGTTTCAACTGAATATTATAAGATCCCCGTGCGTAGAACGGGTACACAGCTAGTAATAGACTAAATTATGTATGCATAATTTTATTTAGTAACATAAAAAGATAGATTAGAGTATTTTCAAAGCTTAAAAAGTACTTAATTTGTCTCTTTTGTTAATATTATTGTAATATTGTAGTATTACAATGTAAGTTTTCAATAATGTAAAGGTTTAATATTGAATGAAACTATTTAGCCAATTCGGACTAATCATCTAATAACAAAGTTTTGAGCATACATTTAAAAAATCACATCATATAAAAATACCCCCGCCATAGCAAACCTCCAGACTAAGCGAATTTCCATTTACGTGGCTGGATTTCTACTAAAATATACCCTGAAAATTGTCAGATTTATTTCCTATTTAAATAACATTAATTTTAATGAGTACCTAGGTTTGCTGCAACGGGGAAGGTATTGAGGTGTGTTTTTTTATTAAAATGTTGAAAGCTTAGTATGAAATAAACAAAATTGCCAAATTTGATTAAAATATATTCATAAACAAGCAAACTACAAGAGTTTATTTATTCCCCATAAGAATAACATGGGAATTTTAAATTAAAATTTTTCTTTTAACTACCTCCGTAACCGTTAGGCATACAAAACCGCTTCAATATACAATATTATTTCTTTTTTAAGCTCTACAAAATGGTCTGGAAAGAAATTGTGAAATTTTATGTTTTAGAGTCAAAAGTGGGTAAAACAAATTTTTACCCCATAAACCCCCGTTCCCATGTCCGATCATGCTGGTTCACGAACTCGTTCGAATAAACGTAGGTTTACACGTTTCTACCAAATTTCATCAAAATCGGATCATTTCTTATCAAGTTATCGCGCTAGCGGACACGTATATATATAAATATGTATATGAATTTGAACGGAGGGTGTTTTTGGCCTCTGGGGACCTCAAAACGAAAACGTAAATCTGTCCCGGGTCCAGGTCTTACCATGAGTTCTACGGTAATAGCTTATTCCCTATAAGGGAAAATCGCTAAAAACCACCGCAGCAATCCTGCAGACAAAGTGAATTGAAACTTGTCTGATAAAACGTTTACTAAAATATTTCCTTAAATAAGACATATTTATTTCCCATTTAAATAACATTAGATTAAACGAGGGCTTAGGTTTGCTTTTACGGGGGAGGTAAAAAGTGTTTTTTTTTTATTGACCAAGCGTTAATAGCATAGGATTAAATAAGTAAATTTACCAAATTTGATTAACATATATCCATAAATAAGTAAACTACAACAGTTTTAATTTTCTCCATATGAATATCATAAGAATTTTAAATTTACACTTTTTTAATTTTCTTTGTAACCGTTAAGCATACAACAACGCTTCAATACACTAAATTATTTATTTTTAAGCTCTACAAAATTGTTTAGAAAGATATTACCAATTTTATTGAACCAATTTGTACCAATAAAAATCCCCTAAATCCCCGTTCTCATAGTCCGATCATGCTGGTTCGCGGACTCAATCAAGTTTATCCCGTCCTACTGCTCCAAGCCAAATTTAATCAAAATCGGACCAAAACTACTCGAGTTATCGCGTTCACGGACAGTGGACACACATATATATACTGTACTAGCTGGCCTGACACGACGGGGCCGACATCCCATGGAAGCGCCGGGTGAAGTACCTCGGCGTCCTGCTGGATCAGCGACTCACCCTGACTCCCCACGTCGAGAGGGTCTGCAACCTCGCCAGGAAGGGTCTTGGCGCCATCCGCCCGCTGCTCCGTTCGAGGAAGTTGTCGACGACTGCAAGAATCCGTCTCTACACGGCCCTGCTACGGCCGGTCCTCACGTACGCAGCCCCTGCATGGTACCACCTCACCTGCAGAACCGCTAGATGGAGGCTGCTCGTCGTCCAGAGCAAGGCTCTTCGGCAGGCGACAAATTCACCCTGGTACGTGAGGAACCCCGTCATCAGGGACTCCGCAGCTATCACGACTCTCCGAGACTTCATCGACGGCCTTCGAGCAAGACTTGAAGAGACGGCGGATGTTTCTCCTTGGGAGCACATCAGGGACCTGGTTGCTGAGGATATTCTCCAGCTCCGCCCCCAAATCGACGACTAACCCCCAGAACGACGTTGACGTCTACAGGTAGCTGAGCTACCAGGGCTTGGACCCACAGCTGTCAAGAAGTATATGCTCCTAGAGAAAAGGAGCTTCACGAGACGTGGCGCTAGTCGCCATAGTCAAACACACTTGGACTTGGACTTGGGACGTCGTCCTGTCCTAATGGGGTTTTAAGACAAATGCTCGTTCATTTTCAAGATGAGCTCGTTCGCATCGCCCAATCACGTCCTGGTTGAAGTTCGTTCGCTACGCTTACTCACCTTTAGGTTAGAGCTCGTTCGCTATACGCTCATTCACCTTTTGGTTGCAAATTAGCTGTTGTCATAAATTCAAAAAAATAATAGTGCTGCACCCTGTTGGTAAACCTATTACTTTTTAATGCTATTGAACATCACAGAATCAAATTGTTTAGTTAAACTAGCTGTTAAGATTCTTTATTTCCATTTAAACATAAGTACTCATAAGGTTAACATGGGAAACTCTAGAACCACTAGGGCGGAGCCCTTTTGACGAATCTGTACCAAACTTCACACACCATCCTTGAATAATGCTTAATAATGCCTGAAAGTTTCATTACCATCTGTCGTGCGGTTTCGGAGTCCATAACGTTCAAATATATATATATATATATATATATATATATATATATATATATATATTTATATATATATACATACAAACTTCTACTTTTATAAATATAGAAGAAGAAGATAAATATACAGGATGTCCCAGGATAGGTGTCTCAAATTGATTACGGAAAAACGGCTTAACCTACAAAAATGAAATGGTAAAAACTGAGGGTCACTAGTTTGAATCTCAGAATTTTCCAAAGTTAACATATGTTATGTTATATACCATTTTAAATGTATTTAATAGAAAATCATTTTGGCTAAAACAGCAATTAATTATCTTTTTCCGTTTCAAAATGGCAGCAGTTTCTTTTATTGAAAAAAAAAATCTATATATTTTTTAATACTCTGTGCTTCCTATACCAATGCACTTAGCCCTTTTCCGGTTAAATTTTCTTACTTGTAATGAAATTAGCTTTACTCCGATATGCTACAAGTAAAGGTTTTATGAAACGAGAAAAATAAAAATAAAATTATTTTTGAAAATTTACAAATGCCCATTGTTCAAAATTTTCAAATATGATCATACGTCAAAAGGCACATCATTTTATTGGTTTTTAAATTCTGAACAACTTTGTAATTTACATACTTCGTATCTCTTTTAGTTTTTGTGTAAATAACAAAAACCCTAATTGTCCTATATCAAATGCATGTCATTTGGGTTTAACACTAACATTTTTTTTTAATGGGGCCATTAGTGTTAATGTGAATTGCGCCATTCTGATACCTCTGAATATAATAAAGACCATTTCTTCTACTCTAATAAAAATAAAATACCAACGCTTATTCACCTTTAGGTTGGAGCTCGTTCGCTGCGCTCACTTGCCTTCAGGTTAGCTCGTTCGCTACGCTAACTCGCCTCCAGGTTGAAGTTCGTTCGCTACGCTCACTCACCTTTTGGTTGCAAATTAGCTGTTGTCATAGATTCAAAAAAATAATAGTGCTGCACCCTGGTAATCCTTGTAATTTTAATGCTATTGAACATCATA